TTTGGACACGTGGATTGTTCCAAGTATACAGGTATTTGTACACGTGGATTGTTCCAAGTATACAGGTATATAGACACGTGGATTGTTCCAAGGATACAGGTATTGGTACACGTGGATTGTTCCAAGTATACAGGTATTTGGACACGTGGATTGTTCCAAGTATACAGGTATTTGGACACATAGTTGTTCCAAGTGTACAGGTATTTGGACACGTGGATTGTTCCAAGTATACAGGTATTTGGACACGTGGATTGTTCCAAGTATACAGGTATTGGTACACGTGGATTGTTCCAAGTATACAGGTATTTGGGCACGTTGATTGTTCCAAGGATACAGGTATTTGGACACATAGATTATTCCAAGTATACAGGTATTCGGACACATAGATTGTTCCATGTCACCACTCAGGGGACCCTATGTCTTCCATATGTGTTGAACGGGTACATCATCTAGTATGCAACATTCAGAAATGAGTTTCTCTAAAAGTAACCTACTGTTCCATCAACGGGAGAAGCCTCAATAACACAAAATAATAAACATAAAAGTGAGGGAAAATTTTTGTTAAGTAGTTTTTATACTTTAGAAAATGTTTATAATGACTGATCTGGTTATTTTTGATGCATTAAAATAGTTGTTTTAAAACATTTCCAATTACTTCAACTAAAAACATGAATTGCATGGCTGTCAAAGTGATGGAGATAATACCTCTCTATATCACCTCTATGTGTTAACATATAAAAAATACTGAAAGTGATACAGAAAAACTATAAAAAAAATTTCAAGTTATCAACAGTTATATGTACAAACAAAGCCACTAATGTTTCAAGTAACATGTTGCATTATACAGAAATCCAAGTCTTCACTAACCCTCTTACTAAACAACGTGTCTGTTCTACTATGAAAGATGTGTACATAGAGTGGTTCATCTTCTGATTCTGTAGGATTTGTTATCTTTAGAAACTGCAATTTTCCATGTCAAAAATAAAATTCATTCTTAAAAAATTTCAATCACTCAACATGACTTATCACACACTATATTTGTATTATTCTAAATAACTATACTTAAAATATTTTTCTTTGTTATTCAGATTAAAAAAAAAAACTTTCCCAAATTATAAGTGTTAATATTTACTGGGTGTATCTGGGAAGTAAAACTAGCAATATGAAATTGTTGCATTTTGATCTTGTTTGGTTAAACAGAGTATAATAGTCACAGCAAAGGTGTCACTAAAACACAATTTGATCCAGACTAACCTACATCAAATATATTTTTTTATTTTGAATATTAAAGTTATCAAATCACATCATACTGTATCTGTTAAAAAAAGTAAAAGACTGAGATATTAGAAATACCTACTTTTTACTCTATTATTGCCTGTAATGAGCTTGAACGTGTTTCTTGTTTCTTGCATAACAATACCACTAACTCCTAAGTATGGTGAACACCGAGCTGCACACACCACTAGAAAACAGCCGTGGTAGTCTGCTTTCATTAATTTTTGATGTAGTTGACTGGAATCACTGCTGCAATAAAAACAAAATTGTTTACATATAAATCTTTTATTAATTTTTTCCCTTAGAAAAAAGGAGTAAAGGTAAGAAACACAAATGGATATATCCACTACCGGCACTTGTGTTTAAAATGTTTTTTTTGCTAAAATTATAATAAATAATTAATTAAAAACAACGTTTTATATTTACACAATAAAAACTTTTATTGAAGCCGTACGGCTTCCACTTTAAAATCTCTAACGTACATGTTTCGATGTAATCTACGTCATCTTCAAGAGTAACTTACAAGACTGTTTTATACTTACACAATAAAAACTTTTATTGAAGCCGTACGACTTCCACTTTAAAATCTCTACAGGTACATGTTTCAACGTGATCTACGTCATCTTCAAGAGTAACTTACAAGACTGTTTTATATTTACACAATAAAAACTTTTATTGAAGCCGTACGACTTCCACTTTAAAATCTCTACAGGTACATGTTTCGATGTGATCTTCAAGAGTAACTTACAAGACTGTTTTATACTTTCCCCCTTGTCGCATTACTTCATTGTTATTTACATATTTCCGTATTTGTACACCGTAAACATCTAATTTGAACCAATGCTGCATTCAATATACCATGTGACACAAAAATTGATATTTACCAATTGTTTTTTAATATTCAATTTAAAATTAAGAAACTAACTAATGTATAATACTAAAATTTGAATTATAATCTTCAATTTGATACTAAACTAATTGACATACATTAATAAAATAGTAGTTCAATAAAATTTTGAATGTGTCTACAAACGCGATGACATGGCCTTTGACCCGTGACCATAGGAAGACCCGTAGAGATAGGGTTAAATGAAGAGAAATGAGATTGAACAAGTTAACTACACCTATATATATAGGCTGATTGTCATTCATGTGGAATAAAGAAGTCAACTGTTGTAACCATGTGCAGTTGTATTGTAAATTGACTTGGATCAAATTTCCAAAAAGCAGGAACTTCATCATTCTTTAAACTTAACAATTTTTAATTAACAGCTCAGCTTTAATGTGATCACCTTGTTCAGTCTTGTTTTCATCTAGCAACTGTCCAGTATTAATATAATAACCCAGCCATCCCACAATCATCAAATATTAGCCTGCCTGTATCATCCTTCCAAGGCTTTATTACCATCCTAACATTTTATTTACCCTTAATGTATTTAAAGAAATCTTTACTATTAATTTTCTACATTTTCAGCCAATCTTTTTTATATACTTTTTTGATTTTCCAATTTTTTGTTTGACCAACTCTCTTGATCTTCTATAATCTTCCAAGTCTCCCATCATTGCAGTCAATTTAAGCTTCTTATACGTTTCTTTAGTTTATCCTTTATACCCTTTATGAGCCAATCTTCCAGCCACCCTTTCTTTTGTCTATAAAGAACTTCCCTATTTTGAATATTCTAGAATTTATTTTTAAAAATTTGCCACATTTAATCAGTATCTTCAGCTAATTTAGTTGCCTAATTTACTGCAGATAATTCTTGTCTAATCTCTTCTCTTCATAACATGCTTTTTTTAAAACTTCGAACTTTCAAACCAAAATCTCGTTAATCTTTATCTCCATATGTAGCAAAACATCAAATCTAATTAAGGAATGGTCATCTACACCCAGATGTTTCCCATTCTCCACCCACTCAACCATTTCTATATTAGGTGTGAATAAATCTAAAGTAATATTGCTCCTAGTAAGTTTCCTAACCAATTATTAAAGGAAAAACCATCCTGAACAGTTTCTAAAAACTTGTCTCCCTCATGATTTTACTCTCAACATTTTCCAATCTATACGTCTAAAATATTCCATAATTATAATTTCTTTAATCTCACTGTAGAGTTTCTCTTAGTTTCATCTGGTGTTTTGTAACAAGTTCCTACTAAAATCCTTCTCCTCATATAACCACTAAAAAAACCCAAAGAGATTCAATCACATTGCTGTTAGCTTTGATACCCTCAACTTGAACATGCTGTAACTCACATTTACATAGAAAGCCACTCCTCCCCCTTTTTTCAATATTCTATCCAAATTAAACAACCTTGAACCTTGTATTTCAAAGAAAATTGCCTACATTTAACCAGGTTTCAGTTATTCCCATTTTATCAAAATTGGCAAATTTAAACTAGGATTAAACAATGGGGAGGGCCAGAATAAGGAATAAAAGGTAAAATGTAGAGAGGGTTATAGTGTGGGAACAAGATACAAAGGTAGTTTTAATGGTAGACTAAATTATTATTATTGTAATGCTAGAGATATAAGAAATAGAATTATTGACTTTAGAGTACTGGTTGGAATAGAAGTTACAGTTGAGTTAGTAGCAAGCAAGCAAGCAAGCCCCTATCCTATGTAAATGTAAGCCATCTATTCCAAAAGTCTCCATTTTACCATTGAACTGATCCTACAAATCCAACCAGCCCTTCCTCACATATTAATCTAAACTTAGTGTTCAGAACTAGTGACCTAGTTATCATCTCATCCCCACAGTTAAGTTTTGGTGGTATCCCTGACAGAATTAAGTTTTCATGGACCTCTTCTTTGAATGCCTTGTACATAACAATTAGCTCCTACAATATGCCCTTTCCTACATCATTAGCTCCTATGTGCAATACAAAGACTGCATCACTACTAGCACCCTTTACTATATCACCTGCTCTCTCAGTTACATCCTCCATCCTGCCCCTGGATAGCATAATCTATCTATCTATAATAGTTGTGTTTGAAGATCAACTGGAAATTCTGTTGAAATGGGAGAACTTAACTACAAAACAATGTTTGGAGAAAAATATTAACGATCAGACTATTCACTAATGAATGTGTTTTCTTCTTAAATTACATGGTAAATTATTTACAAATATTCTGAAATTATTTTTGAAACTAGTTTCATTAAAAAGGAAGGATTTCCAATTTTACCCAGTATATGGATCTTATTACCATGTCATAAGACTAGAAGAACTTATGCTGACAATTTGTAAAAGTATTAGTGTACAGAAAAACAAAACATGTTCCACAATTTCGTCAACTTATAATCGTGCTACACAACAGTTTATCCTTCACTAACAGTAAAAACATTTATATATACATCTACAACAATCTCTTATCTTTCTTGTTTACTTATACAAGACATTAATAACTACATACACTATAATTACTGACCCAGAAAAACTAACCTTTCTTGTATAACTTCATCCATGTATTGGACCCACAGATTATGAATAGGTACAAAGTCATCAAATCTACAAAATAAATCCCATAATCAATTAAAGAAATCTATTTACTGACATTAAAGATGAATAAAGATCTTTGATAAGACATGAAAGAGACTGTTGAGAGTTTATCTGTTATTACCAAGTAAAACTGACAGATATAAGAATCCATGTTTACTAAACTTTTACATACTTTTAACCCTCATCAGCACACCTTTGAAAGGTTACTTTGTGGAAAATCTGGGGTCACAAAATTACCATTATAGTAAGCTCTGGATTGAAATTCCAAAAATCAGTTGTATTGCAACTATTATTAGGGTTAGCATGCAATGTGAACAACATAAAAATATACGTATTTTAAAGGAGATATGTTGACAAATCAAGAAATTACAAAATTACATTGTTCCTCAGTATACAAATAAGTAATATTAAACCATTCCTTATTCAAACAGCGTATCAAACAAATGCCAAAGTTTTATTATATTCTTATATTCAAGTCATTATTCACCAATATATGATGAGATTACCACTAATACTGCGAAATTTAACACAAAGAAAACTGAAAGTGTACATAGTGGGTCAACTTGGATCTGACAGATGAGATGATACTGTACTACTCTGAAGAATAATCCTCTACAACAGCCTATATGGTGAAATAAACATTTAGAAATTTGTTTCGTATGAACTGCATGTATAGTGATGGTCAATGATAGTATGAAGTCTGAGTGGACCCCAGATAAATATTAGATAATAGCTACATACACCATCTGCCTGTTTCGAAAACAATAGTGTCATATTGATCCGGGGTTTCTGCTTGACAATTACACAAATTTATAAGAAATTTGCAATGATTGTGTAAAAACATATACAACTAAAAAAGTCATTGGGGTCCATGTGGTCCCCAGGTGTGCTGATGAAGGATAACCTAAAATTCAACCATGTTCCTGTATAATCACAGCTACATGTATATTAAATTTCATCATTCAGTTACAGTCATAATAGCTAGAATCCCACATTGAAACTATGGAGGGACCAGTGCAAAAGTTACCTAGATGATCACTCTTTGTAAGGCACCCAAAGAGAACCAATGGAGTGTGATACCCTAATGTACAGGATCACATCCGTGGGAGACCTCATCTCAACTGTATCAGGTATACCCATCACCCTTTGTAAAGATATGTTTCGTTAAAATGGATGGAAAAGAAGCATCATCCAATTACAAATGGTGTAGACTGACTAGAGCATGTCAGACTGTATTCAGTGGATCAACTCCAGTCCAATATCAGGTATTTGTCTTCTTGTCCATGGTAGGAGGAGGGTACCAATTGTCTTCACCTGAATACCAGGAAGCAGTAGGGAAAGACAACTTCTGTTCTTACAACTCAGGCAGGTTTCACATGTGCATACCCAGGAACCCAACATCTGGGTGACAGTAGGATGGGGGCATGCATATGCAGTGGGTCAACTCCAGTCAAAACAAGGTGGCACCAAGAATTTGTTGTCTGGTCCACAGTAGGGGGAGGGTCCCTACCAACCACATGTGTGAGGACTTATGTTGGCTGGTCTTGCATCAATCCAAAACCAGACTACTTGGGAATCAACATCTAGATAGTGGTAGGCTGGGGGACAACCAGTCAGAGGGGTGAACTACATGTGGAAGATTCATCTAGTCCAAAACCAGGTGGTATCAGGAATTTTTTCTTCGAATCCATGGTACGAGAAGAGTACTCACCTTCTTGTTTGTTTTTGTTTTTGAATTTCACGCAAAGTTACATGA